CCGCGATTGCGTGAGGGCATGTAGCGAGTGCATGTACATTATCCATATAAAAACCACTCTGTGAGCGGTTCTGAAAAACCTTTACTGGTACTGCCCCGTCGTAAAAGTAAGAAATTAGAACTGGTCCATTGTCCCCCAAAATGCGAACTGATCCACCTAAATCGCGAATGACGGGACCCGAACGCACCAGTAGCACGAGGTCGGGAGGGCACAGGACAGCAATTATCATAGGGTAACACCACCTACCGCTAGTACAGTACATGGCGTATAGTCCGGACCAACGTCCCCATCTGCATCCACAGGTAGGAACCTCGTGCTACTGGTTCGTTCGGGTCCCGTCATTGGCGATTTAGGTGGATCAGTTCGCATTTGGGGGGAAAATGGGCCAGTTCTAATTTCTTACTTTTACGACGGGGCAGTAGCAGTAAAGGTTTTTCAGAACCGCTCACAGAGCGGTTTTTATATGGATAATTTCAGTTCTTTTTCCGTTCCCTCCCCACCCCAACCCCGAAGGTAAACATGATGACCACGCGCGTGATGTACTGTATGTAGCCATGAGACTGCAATAACACACTGATACATACCAGCCCTCCCCGCCTCGCTACCCCGCACACAGATACACAAACATGCGTATGCACAAGGCACACACACGTGGCCACGCACATGCACACGACACAAACAGGAAATTCTTCATATATATAATGCCATGCAAAGCAGTGGCCACTGTACTTGAGGAAGTCAGTTGTGAAACAAAAATAATTCAACTACAGCATGTAGACAAGCTGACGGCCAAAGCACAACATAGCAAACATGACATTTGCCCAAGGATTGCAGTTTTGCAGACCACGCCATGGAAGCAGCGAATACAGAATGTAATATCATACAAAGTGACAAGCAAGGAAGTGGCCATCATACACCAGAAACTTGCAGAAAGTCACACATCCAACAGATAGAGAAGTCAACAGCAATCTGATACAGCCCACACAGGACAAAGCTGACCTGATACTCGTCCCAGGATCGCAAGTGGCAAATCCTTTTCAATGCATAATATGCAGGTGTACGTAAGACGCATGGACAACATCTGACCGTGTCGCCAGCATACGATGTCATCACGTGTTTACCCGACAAGTTACACACATGCACAGTAGAAGCCCAATGAAAGCAATGGAAAAGTACGATGTGGTTGCTGAAGCATCTTCACACTTCAAATTCAGACTTCAATGTGGGCGTCACGGGATGAGATACCTGCAAGATACAAGTGATGAAGGAAGAAAGCAGAAGGTCGTGAGGTAGGCTATGAGTAGCCCTTTCCCAAAGATGCCATAGTTTTTCGCAACTTATGCTTTTCGCAACCGTGCCAAAACAAGTGCTAGTTGCTGAAATCGCATCCATATTTTCAGAAAAAGCTCAAAAGTTGACAATATCGCAACTCAAAGTTGGAGAGTTATTGTGCAAAACCTACAAAACAGGGAGCAGAAATGCAGCGGTGCTGCGACAGCAAACTCGTACACCCCTTTCTGCTGTGAACCACCACTTTACACATTGCCAGTAACCTGTTGCATGTATCCTACATGTACATGTACATCATTACAGTGCACGGAAAAGGGAATGCACATAATTATCATAACTACCGTTGATCTACTGTTTCTCAGAAATGAGCCTGAAGGCAGGCGAGAAATGAGCGAGCACGAGTATGTATTTGTCTAACAATGCAACATGTAGTCGGTGACTTGACCTTTTGACCCCATGCCATGGGCCAATTGCGCCAAGGTTGCAGAGAAGTTGCGAAATATTTCCGGAAAATGAAGAAAGTTGCGAAAGTTGCGATTTCTTCCTAAGGCGCCGGTCACACATGCAGGCGGCGACACCGCTTTTGCGGCTGCCTCCAACACGCTGGCAGTGGGCGCTTTTGCGGCTCTTTTCTGCCGGCGGTCACACATGCAAAGGCTTTGGTACGCACGCAGCTTCACGGGTCTCCACAGGTGTCGTAAAACGTTTCTCTGAAAAAGACTGTAGCCTCAGAATTCTTCAGGAAGTTACCTGCTTTGTTGCATTTTGACTGAGTTGGCTGTTTCATTTTTAATTCCTATCACTGTTGTCTTTCCTTTCCTGCGCTGGTATGGATCGCAGAAACGCCCAGAATCGCCGACTACGTCGTGACCAGCGACTGCGGAGAGCTATGGAGATTGCCTCAATATTCATGTTGTTCAATTTCTCTTCGTTTGAATCTTGCGGAAGCTCCTTGAGCATCGGTGGACGCCTGAGTCGAGTCCCATGTCGGATGGGACTCGACTCAGGTGTCATGGTGTCTTGTCTTGACCTCGAAATAGAGGGAGAGGAGCAGTTGCTCTTGGTCAGCAGTCCACTTCATGACGAGAGATGAAAAACTAATTTTTCCAAGATCCAAGAGATCCAACAACGACAACGCCGCAAAAGTTGCACTACCGCTTTTGTGTTTCGCCACCAATTTTTTGGTTGTGGCGCTTTTGAGATTTCCGCCGTGGCGCCAGTGGCGCCAGGCGCAGTATCCATGGTGATCCGGGGATATCCCAACTTTTGTGGTGCAGCTTTGGTGGTGTCGCAAAAGCGCCATGCATGTGTGACCGGCGCCTAAACAACGAAAAGTTCCGAAAAAGGTGGCCAGCATCTTTGGGAAAGGGCTAGCTATGACACACCACAAACGGGTCACCTACATGTATGTTCAGGGCTAGTGCACTCACACGCAGAATTGTCATAATCGAGCATTTCCCAAACTGAGAAGTGCAATGAAATCCACTTGCATGCACAGGAGCAATTTGCAATATTATGATGCGCAATTCGACACGATCTGCGATGCTGCGTGCGATGTGGCCTGCTGTCATGATGGTGACAGTCACCGCGGTATGTTTTGTCAACGTCGCCCATGCACTCTTCTGTCAAGTCCAAAGTGCTCACATACTTGGCAATGTCTTTGCAGTGATTAACTTTTATCCTAGTTATGTCACGGGTAACTTTAATGAAGTACCCTCAGGCCGTGTCGATCCGCACATCGTCCACTCTCTCATGTACTTGGCCTGCTTTGTCTGTGTATCCATTTCATGTGCGATCCACAGAATCGACTAGACAGTGGGTGCAATACGCTCTCTATCTGAAGACGTTCTTCTGGCGACATCTCGCCATGTACTTGGCCTGCTTTGTCTGTGTATCCATTTTCATGTGCGATCAACAAAATCTCAATGCACTACAGAGACTAGACAGTGGGTGCAATACGCTCTCTATCTGAAGATGTGAACCATTAAATTGTTTGGAAAAGTTATACGTACACCAGAAACGTAATGAAGTACAGGAATAGAGAGAGTGACTACAATACGCTCTCCACCTGATACAGTGATATGTTAGAAGGTAACAGGTCTACAGTCCCACCGTACCCTTCCGACACGACTGTAGACCATTAAATGTTTTTGAGAAATTATACGTACACCTTAAACGTAATGAAGTACAGGAATAGAGAGAGTGACAGGCTACAATACGCTCTCGACCTGATAACGTGAGTACAAGACACTCTCCACCTGATAACGTGTTAGTAGAAGGTAACTGGCAACATATCAATGGGTTGCCTTACCGTGGTCTAGAGGAGACGTCTTCGCAGCAATATTTTCCCTCCTGCGCATTCAGTCGCCGATGCGACAGCGTTTACTGGGCCGTTCCAGTTGCGGAAGACATTTGATTCATCGGGCCAATTCAGCAACAGGGCCGTGGACACACAGGGGGCAGAGGAGAGACATTGTTAGGGGACAAGAAATATGCAGTGGCAAGTGGCAAGTGCCGCATGGATGTCAAGTTGTCATGCACAATTCAGCTGTTACTTACGGTCCAGCTAGTCCTGCCATTGCTCGCTCGTCCTGGTTCCTCCTCGTTCGTCTTCCTCCACGTCTGCACTTCTCCTTCCCCACCGTTGGCTTTGCGGTACGGGGGTGCCGGAAGGAATTCCCACCATGTATCCATGTACATGAAGTCCCACCATGTCTCCATGTACATGTCCACGGCCACTTCAGCAGTTTGTATAGTACCGGAAGGAGTTCCCACGATGTCTCCAAAGCGGCAAAGGCCTAGAGCGGACGTCTTTGCAGCAATTCTTTTCGCCCTGCGCATTCAGTCCGCCGACGATGTCTCCAAAGGCCTAGAGGGGACGTCTTTGCAGCAATTCTTTTCACCCTGCACATTCACTCCGCCGACACAACAGCGTTTACGGGGCCGTTCCAGGTGCAAAAGTCCTCGTCAGCAGTTCTCAACTATTTCGTACACGGGATAGTCGCCGCGACAGCGTTTAAGGGGTCGTTCGTTCCAGGTGCAAAAGGCATCCATCAATGGCACTTTGCAGTACGGGGTACGGAAAGGGGCCTCCTCGTTCGACTTCGTCGACTTCTGGCTGCAGTTCTCCTTCCCGTCAGGGGTACCGAAAGGGGCCTCCTCGCAGTTGTCCTTGCCGTCAGGTCCACGTCATCCAGTTCTCAACTATTTCGCGTACGGGATAGTCGTCTTTGTCGTACGCGACATCGGCGTTAACCGAGTGTCATTGGCACAAAGCAGACCGTTGACGGGGTCACGTGTCAAAAAAGTATCAACAACGTGTCGACTACGTGTCGACCACGTGTATAGCGGTACACTCAGCGCTACACTAATTCTCGTGCCATTCTCGTGTCACAAAACTGGAACATCGAGTACCAGTATGGAAAGGCTTCAGACAGGAAGCCTTTCCAATGTATTCTCCCTGGAGTCCCTGCCGAAAAATCGTATGAAGTACGCTTCGAAAAAATTCGTATCGTCCATACGGATTTGGGCATGGAAAATCGTACCCTGGAACCTAGCTATTAATTTACAAACAACGTTTCTTCATTTATGATTTGGAAAGTTTCTTTCTCAATCTAAATCCAAATGGAACGGAAACAGGGCAGCTGCATCCACAGGCAGCTGCGCACAAAGATCATGCACATAATTGGCGACCACGACTTTCATTGGCGTGGAATGGTGGAAAAAGGAACTAGTGCAGCGACAAAATAGAAACGGAGAAGAAGTAACAGCAAGGAGAGCGAATGGCTAAAGTGCACTAGCCTACACTAGGTTACAGTCTGTAGACTCTGTAGTTAGTGAACACATAGTCACGTGGTCAAGTGATCACACACACATATACATCATACCAATACGTCATCATGGTCATGCATAACAAAAAGAACAGAAAGGAAAGTCATGCGTGAGCAAAACAAATCAAGAGCGCGAGACTACTCACGGTATGAAAACATAACGAAGATATTTGTTTCAGAACGAAATGCAAAGACTAGAGAAACGAAGACTACCTTCGAAGCTACTTTGAAGTGAAATGGAGTCAGTCATTAGAAAGGAAGATAAGGAACCAGAATTCTGCAAACCCAAGCGTGGAATCAGCCACAATGTAAGAGAGTAAGAGAGTACAATCATTGTCATGGTATATACGAAAACACTAATGTTAATCATCGTCATGTAATGCAAAATACAAATTAGTTATTCAGAATTCATTTTCATGTATTTTATTGCGACGTTCGCGACGAGCAGTTCTCAGGAGATTGAGGGCCTGCTAACAAATCCGAGAGCGGCTAAAGAATGCATGCACAATCCGGGATGAAGCGTCGGTAGAGATTTACCAAACCTAGAAAGCGAGATAGAGAGCAGAGTGAGTGTCTGGAGCAGGGTAGTCCACCATGGCCTTGACTTTCTCTGCCAGTGTCTCAATGCCGCCGCCGACAGCGGCTTTGACATTGTGACCAAGGAATGTCACGGAAGGGCTGCATGAAGACACACTTGCTGACAATGACCACCAGACCATACTCTGCCAAGTGATGGAAGATGGTCTTCAGATGCTTGAGGTGTTCAGCTGTCGAGCGACTCACTACCAGTAGAATGTAGACAGTTGACAGCTAAGCCAGGAACGAATAGAGGCCACCGCTGGGCAGGGCAGCTTCAAGATGACGCCTCACCATTTTTCAACACTGTACCAAGGACAAACAACAAGAGAGAGAAAGCGGGGGAGAGAGAGGGAGGGAGAGGGAGGGAGAGAGAGAGAGAGAGAGAGAGAGAGAGAGAGAGAGAGAGGGAAAGAGAGCAGGGAGGGTAAGAGAATGATATGCAGACACACCAGCAAGCAGACAGATATGGTATTCTGCAATATTATTATTATTATTATTATTATTATTGACTGGTTTGAGGGAAAGAGACAAACGGGAAAAGTCTGAAGAAAAAATTGACTGTCCCCACCAGGACTCGAACCAGGGACCCTCGCTTGTAGCCAGCGATGCTCTAACCACTGAGCTATGGTGTAGTCGTCATCCCAGCAGAGGCCGTTCAACATTTTCTTCAGACTTCGTAACTCACACTTCCTGTGAATCCACACAGGCGGGTGGGACGCAGCCCTCACTGTAACCCACACACTTCACGTACAAACTAGCACGCGGGGAGCCCCAAGTCATAAAATATTAACTGGTTTGAGGGAAAGAGACAAACGGGAAAAGTCTGAAGAAAAAATTGACTGTCACCACCAGGACTCGAACCAGGGACCCTCGCTTGTAGCCAGCGATGCTCTAACCACTGAGCTATGGTGTAGTCGTCATCCCAGCAGAGGCCGTTCAACATTTTCTTCAGACTTCTATTATTATTATTATTATTGTAAAAGAGAAAAGGACATATGGATACGAGTTAAGAGTAACTCTCCATCACTGTAACATGATACTATATACAGTCAGAAAGTGCAATAACTAGGCACAAAACTGACAGAGTACTGAGACATTCGACGTCCTGACACCTAACTTCAACACATCTCCGTAGCGCTAACCGACAGCCTTCCAACTTGGAAGGTTCAAGGTTGTGGAAAGACCAAAGAGGGGAAGGCAAGCGCAACGAAAACGAGCAAAAGCTACAGTCCCAACGGAACAAAGAATGTCGATTGTTACTGGACGATGACGAGACCAGTACGATATTTGACAAAGCGGTCTAACTACAATTCGAAGCAGCAAAGCAGCACACCACCCAACTTGGGTGGGTCATAAATATCAAAGATAAGTAAAGAAAGGGAAGCTTTGCGAAAACGAATTGTACAAGCCGATAGCCAAACTCCTACAGTACTCCTCATGCATGACATTGTGATGGACTAGTTGACTACAAAACAAGTTGTTTCACACGACGTACGTTTCGCCGTATGGTTCGTGACGGCTCATCAGGTGTGCAATTTGAAACTCGGATGTTGAGCCATAAATAAATGTAAAAGAGAAAAGGACATATGGATACGAGTTAAGAGTAACTCTCCATCACTGTAACATGATGGAGAGTTACTCTTAACTCGTATCCATATGTCCTTTTCTCTTTTACATTTATTTATGGCTCAACATCCGAGTTTCAAATTGCACACCTGATGAGCCGTCACGAACCATACGGCGAAACGTACGTCGTGTGAAACAACTTGTTTTGTAGTCAACTAGTCCATCACAATGTCATGCATGAGGAGTACTGTAGGAGTTTGGCTTTCGGCTTGTACAATTCGTTTTCGCAAAGCTTCCCTTTCTTTACTTATCTTTGATATTTATGACCCACCCAAGTTGGGTGGTGTGCTGCTTTGCTGCTTCGAATTGTAGTTAGACCGCTTTGTCAAATATCGTACTGGTCTCGTCATCGTCCAGTAACAATCGACATTCTTTGTTCCGTTGGGACTGTAGCTTTTGCTCGTTTTCGTTGCGCTTGCCTTCCCCTCTTTGGTCTTTCCACAACCTTGAACCTTCCAAGTTGGAAGGCTGTCGGTTAGCGCTACGGAGATGTGTTGAAGTTAGGTGTCAGGACGTCGAATGTCTCAGTACTCTGTCAGTTTTGTGCCTAGTTATTGCACTTTCTGACTGTATATAGTATCATGTTACAGTGATGGAGAGTTACTCTTAACTCGTATCCATATGTCCTTTTCTCTTTTACATTTATTTATGGCTCAACATCCGAGTTTCAAATTATTATTATTATTATTATTATTATTATTATTATTATTATGAAATGACCCAAAGGCAATGTGCCTATCGAGGGGTTCATTTGATTGAAAGAACAGTAGATGTAGATGTATGTACAAAGAGAAGTAGGGATTGATGAGGAGAGAAATGGGGAAAATCAACTGCAAGGTGGCGGAATAAAGACAGGCAGAGACATTGGGGGGGGGGGGGGGGGGGAGAAAATTCTAGCGCCTGCCATTTGAAGATGCCGAGACCTCTAGTTGGTTGAACATGGCAGGCCGCACCAGCACCATCTCTCACCATGCTAGCTCCATTGGTCAGCCAGTGAGATGTGTATCTTGTAAAGAGTGATAGAAATGAGAGAGGTGAAGTCGTCATTTTGTCTTGTATACGAGGCTGACCAGATTGTGGCTCGATGGTTGCACACTCCAAGAATGTACACCCTTTTACTGAGAGAAAACGTTTGGTCGGATGTTAGCACAACCAACACGACTTGAAAAGCTGAAGCTCTTCAGCTCAGGTGAGTGCAATTGGTGTTTTCTTGCATGATCTCTTGTCAGTCTATCAGATCCTTGGCATTCTTAGAAAACTGGTTACGGAAACCAGGGAAAACCCATGGGAACGAGTTATGAAGCAGCTATCCACGACTGTAACAAGATAATACTCAGTCAGAAAGTGCAATCACAGGGCATCGTTCCAATGTGTTTTCTTACATTTTACATTCTATTACTGGCTCAGTATCCGAGTTTCAAAATTTCAAACCGGGAACTTTGGTACTGGGAAACAATGCTCAGACGACAAGCTAAGGTGCAGGCAGGATCCCAGCACAGACCATTCATCACTTTCTGAAACCAACTTGACCCCCCCCCCCCATCACCCCATCCCTTCTCCCTGGACCCAACCCGGACCATCCCACCGAAATACTGGATAACAAGGAGATCAGTCATTCTTGTTTAACTCACTGGAATGTTTTCTCAATCTTTTTCTTCTTGTCCGGATTCAGCTCTAGCGCTATCTTCTTCAACTCGGCCAGGGTGACTTCGCGCGTTCCAGCTTTGTCCACGGCCCACCTGATAACACCATGCATATTATCCGGTATGTTAGTGGTGCCATGGCCGTTTCTCACGATAAAGTCTTGCATGTCGTCTTTGAAACCGTTGCTGTATTCTGGGTCAATCAGTATTGCAATGGCTTCGGCAAAGTCCTCTGGACACACAGGAGAACAAGGAGGGAACATAAAGAAATACAGCATTTCTCAGAGACATGTCGGTAGCCTATTCACGTTCCCAATACACTGCCCCACACCACAGCAAGTCTAAGCACAGGGACTACAAGTTACGCTATAATGTATATAGTCCTATTCCAAGTCTTTATTTGCTACAGTAAAGAGGTGATAGAAACATAGCAAGTAGGAACAGCTAAAATAACAACAAACAATGTAATGTATTTAGGGACACAAATATCTGGCTGCGGATTATACTCCGGAATATATGCTACGTATTTTGTCTTCCATTCTATACAGATAGGCAGCAACATACTTACCACGTTTAAGGCGGCTGACGCAACCTTCAATGCTTCGGCTGAAGTTTTGAAAATGAGAAATGTCTGACAAAACTTTCAGTCTGAAAGAGGGACAGAACATATGAAAGCGACATGTATTTTCATGTTAATCACGGAGGGCCAGAAGACAAGGCCAAGACAGAATTTTAGTTAATAAAGGAATAAATAGAACTAAATCCGCCGTCGTCATCATGCATCAACGAAGTCGAAATGATATTTCACTGAGAGAGAGACAGAGAGAGAGAGAGAGAGAGAGAGAGAGAGAGAGAGAGAGAGAGAGAGAGAGAGAGAGAGAGAGAGAGAGAGAGAGAGAGAGAGAGAGAGAGAGAGAGAGAGAGAGAGAGAGAGAGAGAGAGAGAGAGAGAGAGAGAGAGAGAGAGAGAGAGAGAGAGAGAGAGAGAGAGAGAGAGAGAGAGAGAGAGAGAGAGAGAGAGAGAGAGAGAGAGAGAGAGAGAGAGAGAGAGAGAGAGAGAGAGAGAGAGAGAGAGAGAGAGAGAGAGAGGGAGGGAGAGAGAGAGAGAGACAGAAAGAGAGAGACATAGAGAGAGAGAAGAAAATAGTGGTTGGGACTTTGAGTAACATTGCTATTAGCATATGAAAGGTAGAATTGAGATCAGGTGTGAAGCAATACCTGTACCATGTACACATGATTTCAATTACAGCAAGTCTATGTGCTTACGGTGATGTTGACGGTTGTGATGCAACTGCCTCTGCGGGTGCTAATGCTGCTGCTGCTCCAGCTGCTGCTGCTGATTGTACTGCTGCTGCTGCTGTTGCTGCTGCTGCTGCTGCTGTTGCTGATTGTACTGCTGGTGCTAATGCTGCTGCTGGTGCTAATGCTGCTGCTGCTCCAGCTGCTGTTGCTGATGCTGTTGCTGCTGCTGCTGCTGCTGCTGCTGCTGATGATGATGATTGTACTGCTGGTGGTACAGGTGCTGCCGCTGATGCGGACTCCGATGCTGCTGATGCTGCTGCTGATGATGACTGAGGTAATGCGGCTGCTGCTGGTGGCACTGCTGCTGCTGCTGTTGCTGCTGCTAGTGGCTGCTGAAATCGTTTTAGAAATCCGAAGATATGCAGGCAAGAAACACAAACAAGAGAAAAGTTCAGTCAGGCCATTCCACAGACGTATACCGTAAAATAATAATTATCCTCCATTCGTATTGCATTGCAATTCTATGCTAGCTTTTTGATCAAGTAGATTTCTATTGAGTATTGCTGAAAAGAAACTACTTCTCCTTGAAGAGATAATGAAAACTAAAAAACGACACACGGTCACTTGATCAGTCAAATCCTCACCGTCACACGATTAAAGTCAAATAATCACAGTCACATGAACATGATCACGGTCACATGATCACAGTCACATGATCCCAATCAAAAGATCACTGTCACACGATTAAAGTCACATGATCACAGTCACATGAACATGATCACAGTCACATGATCACAGTCACATGATCACTGTCACATGATCACTGTCACATGATCACTGTCACATGATCACAGTCACATGATCACAGTCACATGATCACAGTCACATGATGGTGTAGATATTGCAGCAAAGTATTCATTCTACCAGCTTGACATTTCAAGTGTATGCTGAAACCATACAAGGCAGTGGAAGAAAATCTTCACAACTCACCTCAGCTTGGACAAATGGCACATCCTTACGCAGCCAGGGCCAGAAGGACCTCGGGATAATGACCCTCTCCTTGCAGGTAGCACACGTTGCCTTGAAGGTCAGAGCGGTGTTCATATCCGACTCGTATGACATCAAGAAATGCTTCTTGTGCAAGCTGGTCAGCAACACCCACGACGAGTGTACCAGCACCTCTGCAGGACTGCTGCATTCCTTCAAGCGATCCTGGCATGAGGTGGAAGTGCAGGCAAATGACTCGCCAACAACTGTGAACTGCTGGTACCCTTGGGTGCTGAGAACTTGTGTGAAGTCAACAATTGCACTCTTCATATCCCAAGCCACATCAGCAAGTATGGATGGTGTATCAGCAGCGCATTCTAAGCGAACACCTGTCGGTGTCCAGCAGAGGCATACTTGACTACAACCAACCTCCAAATTCAGCGATGCCGCACTGGATGTGAACTGAAGACTGGCTGACTCTTTCTTCATACGATGAATTATGTAGGTGACTAAGCGACCGAACAGTGGTGGAGGAAACAGCATCCCAGGGAAACTGAGGTGGTTAAACGGTAGCTTAAAGGGAACATCATCCTCCAAAACCAACCGTAATGCTTCCTGGTTGCAACAGAACGGGATGAAGAGGTCGGGTAGGCCTGGCGTGACAACCGGACATCTGTCTTGTCTGCTGCTGCTGCTGCTGCCGCCGACTCTACTGCCACACCCTCCGGTGCTGGTATCTGTACTTCTGGTATCTGCACTGCTGGTGGCTGCACTGCTGGTGGCTGTACTGTTGGTGGCTGTACTGCTGGTGGCTCTACTGCTGGTGGCTGTACTGCTGGTGGCTGTACTGCTGGTAGCTGCACTGCTGGCGGCTGTACTACTGGTGGCTGTACTGCTGGTGGCTGCACTGCTGGCGGGCTGAAGTTCTGCTGCCAAGTTGAAGTAACACATGGATTTACAGAGAGCTAGCTGGACAACACGGCTGAGAGGATACCAAACTTTCTCTATCAACCTCGCGCTGGCAATTCCCGTACGTCGAAAGTGTTCCACTTCTCTGGCTAATGTTGCTGAGGTGCTTGGAGAAGCTGTCTCCTTCAGAGGGAAGGTCATCAAGCGTACAAAGTTGAGTAACAGCTGCTGAGGTTCCAGGAAGATGACGCTTGAAGTGAGTGGATGCGGGCAGTCACAGCAAAACACTGTGCCATGTTGCTGAAGGTGGTGCAGTAGATCAGACACTTGTGCAGTGGTGAGATCTTTGCCGCTAACATGCCGACAAAAGTCTACAAACTGTGGGTAGTCCATACTAACAAAACTCTGCTGCTGCCGCTGCTGCTGCTGATCACTACTGGTAGCTTGCATTGCATCATCACTGCACCCAGCCTTTGCATAGCGAAGCATTTCCTTTTGGTGGAGAGAAATAGCTTCTTCTATCTTCACTTGCATCAAGGGAATTGCTTGGACAGGAAAGGCAGACACAATTCTAGAGAGCTCTTGCTGTGCTTCAGCAAGCTGGCTGTGGCGAGATACGCGATCTTGAAGACGGTGATTGTCAACAAAGAAGGGTCTACAGACCTTGACGTTGGGGCCGGCCCTTTCAGCCAGCTTGGACACGGCATTGAAGAACATGTCCTTCTTCTTCTCTATTTGGTCGTCGTCGACAAGATCCACATGTGTAACAACAACCATGATGGCTGTGCTACTCTCATCATGATGGTGGCTGCTATTGCTGCTACTGCTCTTACCCGGCTCTGTGTCTGACTGATGCTGATGCTGCTGATGTTGGTGCTGCTGCTGTTGCTGCTGCGGCTGTTGCTGCTGCTGTTGCGGCTGTTGCTGCTGCTGCTGCTGGTGGTGGTGATGCTGGTCAGGGTGTGTGTCTGCCCTATGCTGCAAAGCAATCAGTGACAGGCACATGTGAAGGTAGTCAGCCTGCGTCATTCCTGGCAACGGTGTAGAAGTAACAATCTCCTGACCATCGAAGCGGTAGACGTCTTCCGTTACCTCCTCATCCAGGTCACACCTCATGTCAAGAGTCACAATGTACACGCTGTCACAAACTGAAAACGAGATGCTTTGTTGTACCAACATCGGCATCTGTCCACCCATGTCCCACAGCTCAACAAATGCATATGCTGCTTCCTCTTCATTCGAACTGTTATCGACATGGCTGACAGATGAGCGAACTTGAGAGATAACATCTGGTGCCACTTTGGTCAGGTCATTAGCATGAGGAACATTGGCAAACTCATTGTGGACAGCGGATGTAGCTGCTGCTCCACCGGTAGCCGGGAAAGTAGCCAAAGGAGTACTCTTTGTTGGTGCAAGTAGTGACCTGGTGAATTTCTTGAGCTTGGACCATGCTGATGGTTGTGCAGCGATGGGTAGCTCTGGAGCCTCCTTGATTTTCTTGACCAGATCTAGAGATGATCGGATACGAGCTGTGAGTAGATTGACAAAGAAACTATGTTGACTGTTGTCCACAAGAACTTGTGCGGCTTCTTGTGTGCCTGTGGCGAGTTGAGAGGAGAGATGCATTCTGAGTCTGGATCGATGGATGGAAATGGAGTCGGTGCTGTCCGCGTTTTCAATGAACTCTTCACCGAGCAGTGCCCGGACAAAGCTGGACTTTCCTGTGGCGTACTTGCCGACAAGGTACATACGCACGCGTACCACGCTGGCCTCGTCCTTACCACCAATGATGTCCTCAGCCACAGCAGCTGCATTGCAATAAACAATAATGCAGCAGCAGCAGTAGCAGCAAGAAGAGCAGCAACAGCAGTAGCAGCAACAATCATTAGTACATGTTATCATGGGAAATGGTAGAATGTCTCAAGTACAACAGAGTTTACCAGTAACAAAAGCAATTGAGAGCCCCCCCCCCCCCCCCTTTGCTTATTCTCTTCCTGTTCGCCCTCCCTCCACCCCCCCCCCCCCCCAACGCGCCCCTTTTCTCTATCTCTCTATCTCTCTGTTTCTCTGTTTCTCTGACTATGTATACAGCATACAGCATTGGGTATAATTATATCTATTTACCTATCTAACTAAAAAGATAGAAAGTGGTCCAGTTTGGATTTTTCATAACTCAAAGTTTCATGCTATTGCAGTCAGACGACTGATACTAAAACCTGAGACTAATCACTATGAATATGATCATGTGTGATACTTGGTGCTTAAATTGATATTACTCTACACGATTCACGAATAACGCCAGTATCACACAGACGCTATAATTATGGTTGCTGGCAATTTCCAAAATTACTCCTTTGTATCTATTTCTCTATCTAAGAGTTGGTGGACAAGCCATTGATTATCCACTCTCATTGTAATATCAAAAAAGTATTCTTTCTATACCAAAGAGTGGTATATTTGATAAATAAAGATACTTCAGTAGAAACATTTACGATACTTATCCAGACGTTTCGTTGTGTGAAACACTTTTTCAGTGGAGAAAGAAAGACATCCAACATCCACTGATGATGTTGTTCAGAATAACGAAGCGTCTGGAGAAGTATCGTAACTATTTCTAATGAAGTACTTGTATCTTACACAAGAGAGAGATTGAAAGCTTTGTTACAACTCTGAGTTTCACGTATTACTACGATCATCAGGCAACCAATGAAGTATCTTATCAAATATACCACTCTTTGGTCTATTTATCTAATCAATTTGCGGACAAAACTGTTAAGTCCTTTGTGGACTCATCAGCGGAGGACAGAGAAAATGAGCCCGAACCTGGTAGCAATGAAAAATATTTTTTCCAAAGCCAGATTTAAACCAGACCCAAACGTACCTTGCCAGAGTGCTCAAACTGACAAGTCAGTGAGCTTTGCATAACGCAAACAGCAAAGGCACTACCCCACATGAGCTATCTATCTATCTCCCTCTCTCTGTCACAATCTCTGTCTTTGTTTTTCTCTATTAGAGAGGTTTTGCAGAGCGAACGTTCGCGCGAATTTTCGTTCGACGTCACGAAAAGCGAAACTTCGTGCGAACGTTCGCAGTTTTGAACGCGAAAGTTGCAGGAAACGCGAAACAAACTTTCGCAGGACCGCTGGTCAGCCTGGTGCACGGTGAGCGACCCTCAAGCTTCATGTTTGTGCTTGATCTCTACTCTTGGCTTGGTCCACGAATGCTAGCTTTCCGATACTTGTGGCAGCCCGTGTTGCTTCATCTCCAGAACCATCTCCGATCTCCTGCTTGCTCGTCTTCTCACTGCTCAGAATCGGTTACATCAATGATGCCTTTTTGAATCTCAGGCATTGATGCGCAAGATTACGGCACAAGCCAAACCGGCCCGTTTGTCTGTGGGTCTCCGGCCATTGACAAAGTATTCAAAGAGCTCTCGTCTCAGGCCGTGACTCAGGGTACCTGGTGCGCATGCCGCCACTCGCAACAAACAAATAATCGGATGGAGAACACTTCTCAAAAACAAGCGAGTGCACACGAAATTTTCTTGGACCGAGAAACATGCAAACATTCGCAGTATTATTTTCGCTCTTTGTGGACTGTTCGTGCGCGGTGAGCCACCCTCAATCCTCATGTTTGTGCTTGGTCTGTACTCTTGGCTTGGTCCGCGGGTGCTAGCTTTCCTATACTTGTGGCAGCCCGTGTTGGCACTGTTGCTTCATCTCCGGTCCGGAACCATCTCCGATCTCCTGCCTGCTCGTCTTCTCACTGCTCAGAGTCGGTTACATCAACGATGCCTTTTTGAATTTCAGGTGTTGATGCGCCAGATTACGGCACAAGCCAACCCGTTTGTCTGTGGGTCTCCAGCCATGGACAAGGTAGTCAAAGAGCTCTCATCTCAGGCCATGACTCAGGGTGCCGCCACTCGCAACAACAAAAGAATCGGATGAAGACCACTTCTCAAACAAGCGAGTGCACGCGAAAATTTCTTGGAGCGAAAAACATGCAAAACACAAATTTCCCGCGAACGTTCGCAATAGTTTTCGCAACCCGGAACGTGAAAATCATTGCGAACGTTCGCTCTGCAAAACCTCTCTAATATCTCATACTTGGAAGACTTTGATAACCAAAAATCATTACTAAGAAGAAGTTCTCAAATCGAGCAGACAGATTGGCACCCACCTGTTCTAAGTTCCTCTTTCTTCATTTCGTTCATTGTTCCCAAGCAGAAACCCAGCACACACACACACACACACACACACACACACACACACACACACACACACACACACACACACACACACACACACACACACACACACACACACACACAAACACACAAACACACATACAACACCAGAAATGAGTTGATCAATTTACTTTTATTCCCCAAGTTATGATAGACTGAGTAGACGATTGGCATAGCCAGGACCCACAGACCTCAATTTCGCGCCTCCTCATGCATGCATTTGTGTGTGTGCGTGCGCTTGTGTGTCTGTGTGTGTGTGTGCTCGGGCATGTGTACGTGTGTGTGTGTGTGTGTGTGTGTGTGTGTGTGTGTGTGTGTGTGTGTGTGTGTGTGTGTGTGTGTGTGTGTGTGGCACCGTGTGTGGCCCCTTTTTTCACAGGAGAAAAGTGGCCAAGTACGAAAAAGGTTAATGTCCAGTGATATCCTACAAAGTCGGGTGGTACAACATTTAGTGCTTGATGCACAGGATCAGACACGGGTCGATTGCGACATTCGTTTTCCCCAGCCCCCAGGGTCTAAGCTACGTGCCGCTTTTCAGTCCCAAAATTCGTATTTTTGTGGTGAGGTATACTGTAAAGCGTGAAATTTTCGCTGCGTTTTTAGTTCGCGTTTTCAGAATCAGGACAGGTTTGCGAGGTTTTAATTTTGCGATTGCAGAAATTGAAAATTTTAAAGCAGAGATTTTCAGCCAAAGAAGGCTAAGCAAGGACAAGCTAACTTTTGAACAGCTGATTTGTTTCCGCTTTCAGTGGCATGTCGACCGATCTTGGCTCTCACCTCATCCGTGTATCTATGGTAGTCACCACGCTTCCTCTTCTTTTTCTCAAACGTAGCCAGCTCCTTTTCCACGGCGCAGTTTGCTGCAGCGACGGTAATGCTTGCCGCAGGAGGAAGGTATGAAGCCTGCTTCGCAGTGCTGCTGTCATCATTTTTCTGCATCCACTGAAGGAACGGCATACTACTAGTGACGAGAGAGAAGCAGTAGTGCGATCGTCGAGGGAAAACTTCAAAAGGATGTGAAAGGAATGAACTTCGGTCCGAGTTATTTGTACAGCAGTGGTGCAAGGAAACTCTTGGTGGCAATCTTCACGAATACGCTGGATTGCGCTACTATTTGTGCTACTGTGACATTCTTGCTAAACCTTTCACGGATCTCCTTTTCGCGCTGTCTAAATTTCGCGATTTCCACGCGACCATCGCAATAATTTCACGGTTTCCAGTAAGCCATACGTCAGACTTTTACCTTTTTGACAATCTAACTTAATGGGTACCGGTTAGGGGTGAAAGTTGGCATTGAAATCCCGAGTTCGAGTACTCTGATTTTCTCCGATCGAATATTCGAGTATTCGAGTATTCTTCATCTCCTAAAAATTGCACACCGAGGGCCTTAAAATCACATGATACAACCCTGATGAACCGAGTGGCAGTCATTTTTCTCTGGTATATTGGTTGGTGGGTCATTTGGGCTCTCTTTACTCGTGAACAAATGTTCACCACACAGTCTGCACATCAATATCTGCTGACTGCTGCTCTGAAACTGCAGATTTCTGTGGTAAATGCATGTACCATGTATGAACGAGTACTCTGATTTATTCCGAGTACGATTATTTCTGAAAAAACCGAGCGAATACTCGAGTACTCGGTATAATTGTTTCACCCCTAGTACCGGTACATACATACGTACAAGACGTTACAAATGCTTAACCCTTTGGCATCCATGGATTCCTTCAGGATTCGCGCAGAGGTGCGCGATCGACCGCGCAACAGTCCCAGTATGCATTTCAACATTATCTAATTTCACGCACCAGATTTGGAATATCTCCATCTTGGTCTCTTTGGAAAGCTACAGATCTCCTCTCGCCAGGTATCGCCACTAAGTACTCCACAGGAGCAACAGAATCGCCGTCACGTCTTTTGAGAGCTGCCCTATTGGCGCCTGAGCGAGATACTGTGCCCACATCCACAAATGTCATTGGTTCTGAAGTTTTACTCAATGTAGAACGGTGATTCACAGCCCTGCAGGTTCCTGAAGCCCAAGCGATTCATTTGGCCTCCACTCCGCATGCGCTATGCAACCATGAGTCACAGGCGACGTCCCTTTCCAAACAAATTCAAGCGCATCCATGTTTCGCTCTTCAGCGCTCAGTGAATCTTCATCACGCCAGATCATACGACACACGGCTGGGAAGCTTATTCTCTCAACTTTCCGATAAGCCCTCATTCTTGGCGATCGAAGAAAGGACAATGGAGTTACGACAATGCACAAACTGGCACGGTTGCGCACGAGCAAACTCGTGTTCAAAACTGACCTTTAACTTGTGGTTCGAGGTCAAAGGGTTAACAATTTATGAAGAACAACTGAGGTTATGTTAAAAAGGGGCCTAGTTTGTCCTTCACTCTGAACTGACATGTAGAAGCTTTGTGCAAGTGGAATGATGGATTTCAGTACATGAAAACAGTCTAATGACATCATACACTCATTATATGCATGGAGCGCTGTAGAGCACAATCAGCATTCGGATTATTTATAAGCCGCAGGGATGTTTTTTGGATGCATTTCAAAGTGCAGCCAACACACCGGAAAACACGGTATGTGCTGTGGTGCTAAGCCACAAGCAGTTGCAGTGGTTGCACTTCATGTACAGTGAAACCTTGTTAGGAAGAACACTGATAAAACAAATGTTTGCCTAAGAAGAACTAGTATTCGTAACTGTATTGGATAAAACCCTGTGTATTCACCGGGTAAAACATATGGATAAGAAGAACTCCCGTTATTGCGAACGAATATCATCGGTCCCTTGATGTTCGTCCTAAAGAGGTTTGACTGTATTTCAGAGCTGCCAAGTTCGTTTTCTCTTTGGTCAGGAGATCTCCCTCAAAGGGGGATAGCCAGGCCGGAGGTCGGTCGGTAGCCCCTCAAACGAGTGGTTTTCCATCTACTTCCTCAGTAAACAAAAACATCGTGATGGATTTTGAGGGACTGGTTTGCGCACAAACTGCCGTGAAATTAGTCACGATTACTTTCTCGGCCTTCCCTGGCATGCCGTGAAAGAGATACGATGCAAAGAAAGCGACCATTCACCGGGGTACTGAACCAGCATGCATGACGCTGAGCGCATGTGTAAATTTTCTTATGGCAATAGTGACTTCAGTCAATTTTCAAACTCGCTCCAAATGCTCCGATTTTAGTCTTAACCCTTTCACTGCCACTGTCGACTGCAGTCGACAGCGCATTCATGCACTCCGAGTGACATTGTTGACTTGCGTCGACGAGTAAACATGCAGTCCCCAGTGCTGTTGTCGACTTCCGTCGACAGGCAGACCTCACCCAGTTTGGCCCTCTAATTTCGAATATTGGAGATGTTTAGCCGTGGTAGACGGCCACGGGGCCCTGGAAGATGTCCATACCCATCGAAATACGCTGCCAGAAGTATGGGTTGCCATTTTAAAAAAATCGAACCAGCGTCGTTGAAAATGCGCATCCGATTTTTGCCGAGCGGTGGGGAAGAAATCGGTTCTCACGCACTTCCACCTCCCAGAGTCGGTGCGAGTATTTTCCCCTTTCCCGTCAACTTTCATTGCGCGGAGCATGGAATTTGGTTCAGACTTGATGCCTAGCTATTACTGTTAAACGACAAACTTTCGCGAGCGATTAACTTCCGTGACTTTCGCGAGCAGGGCCGAATCACGAAAGTTTGACACGCGAATATGAAATATGTACAATCATGTACTACGCGATGCATCAATGATCGATTGTGCACTGTCTGTACATACACTACACAGACTCTGGACTAGCGCTGATCATTGCTTGCATGGCTACAGTCCAAAGCGTGCAGCTGCGGAAAGTAAGCGACCTTCCGTAAATACCGAATTTAGAAACGAAAACTAGTCATTTGTCTTCAACCTCCCTCCCCCTACCTCAGAAACGAACACATACAAACGGTGCATAGTATCGATATTTTTTTCTTTTTTTCTGGACCTGATCACACATACAAGCTGTGCATCGATATTTTATGAGAAACGAACAGGCGCTCAACCCCCCTCTCCCCTAAACGACTAGTTTTCGTTTCTAAATAAATATCTAGAGACTCCCTCGATTTAGGATAAAGCCTGTGGAGAATCCATAAATACAAATCTATATTTACAGATGGCCCCTAACATACCAAAACTAGTCTTACTAGTTGTCGTTGGAGTACGGCGACTTGAACCAGAATTGCAGAAGAGAATAAAACGATCAACTGGAGAATGTCTCAGTGTTGTCAAGAGGGTTGTTGAACTTGTTGGAGTGTTTGGCCAGCTTGCTGTTGCGTAGATTTTAGTTAGTGTTGTACTGCTCGAAGAAGTCTTCTGAATTTTATCGCCATTAGTGTCGCAGCGGCTCAGCCGTTCGAAGACAAAGTCTTCCGAAGATCCCTCTTCGAAAACGCCATCCTTTCTCCCAGTACCGTAAAGTCCGCTGCAAACGCCCACCCCATTTTTCCAAGATCTGCTGGCCTGTACACACCGACCCCATGCACTGTTACTCCTACTGTACGAAAGTGCATCTCACACCGTAGTGCGAAGAGCGCTTTGCTACGGTAAACTATGTCCACTTTCCTGGTTTCGAAATCGCTCTGGGCACTAGCCACGAGCTAGCTCGTAGTGATATTATGATGATGGCTATTTTAATTCGCAAATCCAAACGGGAGTTTCTTCCGAATAATAAGGTAGCGAAGAACAGAGTATTGCAGGGACCAAATACACTTCTGACGGTGTTTCAAGCCATCATTTCCAAATCGCACAACGCTCAAAGCAAGTGTTTTTTCTCGAGCACTTCAGAGTTTTCAACAAGTTAGCAACGACTTTCTAGGGGTAGCTTCTGTGACATACCCTGTTCGAATTGCAACTGCAATACTGCGACCAATCAAGTGGTTGAATGACACTTCGTCAGAACAATCACTGTTCCGTTCTGA